ACACCCCCCCCAAAACAATTCCACCCCCAGCCCGCGCGAGCCCCCCCCCGCGCGTGGTGGGGGGGGGGGGGGGGGGGGGGGGGTAATTCATTTATTCATAAGTGCAATATTTCCTCTTCAAATTCTGACGAATTTTATTGTTGTATATTTTAAATATCACGTTCTAAATCAGGTCAACCCTGATGTCTCATCTATTTTTCCAAATTGATTCTCACAAGTCTGTCCTTAACGCTATTGAACTTTTCACGCGCATATATGTAGCTAGGGCAACATTGGCACTAATGAAAAGTTTTCAACAATACTGGGTGGTTTACTGGAAGTCGTTGCCGGTCATACATGCCCATTATCAATCTTATGCGGAGTCCTTTGCAATGAAATTTTGTATTGGAACAACGCAGTTTTCAGAAATGCTGATTTGGAGGGATTGGTGGCATGCGTTAATGAAAGATCGAGCTCAGGGGCCATGACAAGTGCGTCATTAAATCACTCATTGAGTGATCGGGCTACCAACTGTAAACTATTCATGGATTTGAATTGCTAGCAAAATATTAAAATAAAAAAGATGTTGTGTTTCTTTATTCATATCAGCAATACTTCGAATACATTCGAAATGTGTTCATCATTTTTCCTGTTGTTGTTCTTTATAGTGTCCTAAAACTCGAGCCGATGGATCTTTGACATCGCCACACCATTTTGGTAACCACATATAGGGTGTTAAATGTTCGTGTCGGGGATACAATTCTTCAAACAGGGAACTACAACAGCAAGAGAAAATTAGAACCTATTTCCCCACGGAAAGGGTCAGTTGACGTACCGGTATAGGAATGCTTCTTTAGTATTTGGTGTATTGAACGGATATAATTGACTAGCACGAGACAGATCATCATCAGATACCTAAAGGAACCAAGTAAAAGACTATCCGTGTTTTACAGAAAAGAAAGCCGATCCAGGCTATCTTCATAACAGTTGAGCGAAAAATAAATTATTTTGGTACTTAAGGCTTCTGGAGGATGCTCTTTCTTTTAGCTGATTTTAAAAGATTTTAAAATAGCCCGAAGTAGGGTTTCGAGAAAACCGTGAGTTTTCACGCCCCGTTCTGAATTAAATAATTATTTGAAGAAACCCTTTGCCTTTAAAAATATTTCAAATATACCATTCGATTCAGGGTTGAACTGGCGACATTTTAAAAAAATACGACTTTCGATTGGAAGCTTTTCAGAACCAACTTCGTCGTACAGGACATTTTTTTTTAGAAAAAGAAGATCAAAGAAAAAAAACAAGAGAAAGTTGATCATATTTGAGACAAATGACATACACAACACATTTGATGAGAGAGATATGTTTGGAGAGGCGGAAGTTACAAGACCTTTTTTGATGATGTTTAATATTTCAGTTTTTTCTCACTCAAACTCAACCACAAAATAATTGTTTTCTACGTTTTTTGAAGTTCGGTTTTCAGTTTTATGAAGAGCTGAGAGGTCTTGTTTTTCGCAAAAAAAAATGTGTCCTGTACGACGAAGTTGGTTCTGAAAAGCTTCCAATTCATGAGTTGGACATAGTTTTCGAAGCCTCGAATTTTACAATACCGGTGAATCTACAAAAAATCTCCACATATTTCTTTCTAGTACTATTCATCTCAAATACACGGCCATCGGTTACTTTTTGAATAATTCAAAAGAAATAACAGATAGAGACTTAGGATTTTCATCATTCGCTAACCAATACCTGTAGCTATGTTTTCATAAGCAAAAACGAATTTGGAAAAAATTCAACGATCGTTTTTCCAGTAGATCTGTAGAAAACCAGTTCGATTCTCTGAAAACTGGCATAGAAATCTATGGACTGTTTTTTCATAGATATATAGTCCGACGTGTCCTCGACAAAACTGGATCCAAGTAATATCGTGGAAATCCATGGCTCGGGAGCT